TGAAAGGGAAATTATGAATTTTAACCAAAATCCTACAAATAAAACGAGATTTTACGGTTAAAGTCTAATTAAATCTACGAGTTCCATACATGCAAACAATGGGTCCAATTTGCATTTAAAGCCCTCATGATCAAGTTTAGGAATAAAATACCCAAAATACCCCTCATATTCAAGGCTCAAAGTTAGTCATGAACACATACGATTTTCGGCCCTACTTTACACAAAAGCCCCCCTAAAGTTTTCGGCCATGGGTATGTAACCCAAGCTTCCAAAATTTCAGCCCTTTTACAAATAAGCCCCTCAACAATTTTTGGCCACTTTTTGCAAATAAACCCTTCAACAATTTTTGATCTTTTTGCATGAAGCACCCCTCAAAATTTTGGCCAAATTGGCATACAATCCAAGGCCCAAAATTTCAGTTCTCTTGCATAACATCCTCTCAAAGATTTCGGCCAATGTTTGCATAAAAACCCACCAAGAATTTCGGCCTCATGTGCATGAAACCCCCTACAAATTTTGGCCATATTCAAAACCCACATTCAAGATTCACTCTTTTTCACAAAACCCATTTTATGAGAGCAAAACGCTACAATCTTTGCATACAAATTCATGAATTTTTGGTTACCTACCCACACTACAAGAATAAAGTTTTAATCTTTCCTACAAAATCCAAGAATTCTTGAACCAAAATTAAGAAAAAAAAAGAGAGAAGAGTTCTTGGAGAGAAGTTTACCCAAATCAAGAGCTTGGAAACCCAACTCAAAAGTCCAACTCTTGAGCTTGAAGACGTAATAAACCCTAGTTTTGAGAGGAGAGGATTTTCGGCCAATAAAGAGATGAAAATCCGAAATTCTTTTGAGGGGTTGAGGGATTTTAAAAGCAAGAGTTTTAATGGGTTAAGAGTTCTTGTTGATGAACTTGGGATAAGAGTTTGTTTAAGAGGAAGAAGGTGGAGGAGTTTTAGGGGAGAAATGACTTCAATTTGAATTTTGGAACAAAAAGGGGGAAGTGAAAGTAAAACAAAAGCACAAAAGAAAGAAAAAAAAAACAAAGAGGTGGGGCATCCGGGGAAGAATTTTCAACAGTAAGGTAGGATTCAATGTGGAACAGGAACTCTTCATGCTGAACATTTTATTCTACATTGTTTATTTTGTTTATTTCAGAATAATAAAAAGAATATATTCTTCTCTTATGTGAGAGTTTCTTGTTCAGTTTTCAAAAAAAAAAGAAGAAGAAAAGAAAAAAAAGAAAAAAAAAGAAAAGAAAAAAAAAGAAGAAAAAAAAAGAAAAAAAAAAGAAAAAAAAAGAAAAAAAAAGAAGAAGAATAAATTGTTGTTTTCATCCTCCTCAAACCAAAGGTAATTGCAGATTTTTATCAGTCGACCAAATATAAGTGTTTTACTTTTTATCTGCTTTACTTTATGCATCATAGCGTTTGCATTGAGGACAATGCAAAATTTAGGTGTGGAGGTGGGAATTAGTTTTTTTTCTCTTTATTTTACATTTTTAGTTACATTTTTGTTTTTTTTTTCTTCCTTTTTTTTTCTTCTTTAAAAAAAAATTTATAAAAATATTATCACTTGCCAAATTGATAGAGTTATGTAATAATTGATTTGTTTGATAAATTTTAAATTTTCTAATCCCTAGTTGGTTATTTACTTAAGTTCACATTTTATGATAACTCTAAATAAATTTCTTATAAGCCAAGACCGAGACACTCCCAGTGTCTCGGGCCTAGGCCGGGTCCCCCAGGTGTTTTTATGATGATTTTTCGCATGTTTTCGCCCGCTATTGGTTGTTCCGATAAAAATCAACACCAGTCAATGCCGATCGATGCGAAATCCTAAGGTCAACGCTGGTCAACGCGTAGCCCTAGGTCAACACCAGCCAACGCGATGCAATGAGAGTCAACACTAATCGATGCGAAACCCTAAAGTCAATGCCAGTCAACGTGTAGCCCTAGGTCAATGCTAGTCAACGCATTGCGATAAAAAGTCAACATCGATCGATGTGAAACCCTAAGATCAACACCGATCAACGCGTAACCCTAGGTCAACGCCAATCAACGCGTTGCGATGAAAGTCAATGCTGATCGATGCGAAACCCTAAGGTCAACACCGGTCAACGCGTAGCCCTAGGTCAACTCCAGTCAACGCGTTGCGATGAGAGCCAACACCGGTCGATGCGAAACCGTAAGGTCAACGCCGGTCAACACGTAGCCCTAGGTCAACGCCAGTCAACGCGTTACGATGAGAGTCAATGCCGATCGATGCGAAACCATAAGGTCAACACCGGTCAACGCGTAGCCCTAGGGCAACGCCAGCCAACGAGCTGCGATGAAAGTCAACGCCGATCGATGCGAAACCATAAGGTCAACGCCGGTCAACACGTAGCCTAGGTCAACGCGTAGCCTAGATCAACGCCAGTCAATGTGTTGCGATGTAAGTCAACGTTGATCGATGTAAAACCATAAGGTCAACGCCGGTCAACACGTAGCCCTAGGCCAACGCCAGTCAACGCGTTGCGATAAAAGTCAATGTCGATTGATGCAAAACCCTAAGGTCAACGTCGATCAATGTGTAGCCCTAGGTCAACGCCAGTCAACGCGTTGCGATAAAAGTTAACGCCGATCGATGAGAAACCCTAAGGTCAACGCCGGTCAACGCATAGTCCTAGGTCAACGCCAGTCAATGTGTAGCCCTAGGCCAACACCAATCAACGCGTTGCGATAAAAGTCAACGCCGATCGATGCGAAACCCTAAGGTCAACGCCGGTCAAAGCGTAGCCCTAGGTCAACACCAGTCAAAACGTTGCGATGAAAGTCAACGGCGATCGATGAGAAACCCTAAGATTAACGTCGGTCAACGCGTAACCCTAGGTAAACGCTAGGCAACACGTCACGATGAAAGTCAACGCCGATCTATACGAAACCCTAAGGTCAACGCCGATTGATACGAAACCCTAAGGTCAACGACAGTCAACGTGTTGCGATGAAAGTTAACGGCGATCAATGCGAAACCCTAAGGTTAACGCCGATCAACGCATAGCCCTAGGTCAACGCCAACCAACGCGTTGCGATAAAAGTCAACGCTGATCGATACGAAACCCTAAGGATGACACCGGTCAACGCGTAGCCCTAGGTCAACGCCAGTCAACGTGTTGCGATGAAAATTAACGCCGATCGATGCGAAACCCTAAGGTCAACGCCGATAGACGCGTAGCCCTAGGTTAACACCAGTCAACGCGTTATGATGAAAGTCAACACCGATCTATACAAAACCCTAAGGTCAACGCCGATCGATACGAAACCCTAAGGTTAATGCCGGTCAACGCGTTGCGATGAAAGTCAACGCTGATTTATACGAAACCCTAAGGTCAACGCCGATCGATACGAAACACTAAGGTCTATGCCGATCGATACAAAACCCTAAGGTCAACGCTGGTTAACACTTAGCTCTGAGTCAACGTTTTTATATCGGTCAACGCGTTGCAACGGAGATAATCAATTCAAAGTCAACTCAATAACACGAGCCAAAACCAACTCACCAATTTCGGTTTGAGACTTCGACAACGGCCAGACGATAAACGCAGCGCCAGAAGAACTTCAATTATTCATCAAAATATTGAATAGACTGAAAATCAAAGAAGTCAAAGATTGAAGCTGACTACAAGTGCTTTCATACCGACTAAAGGTTGAACCAGTCACATCCAAAGTATTTTAAACCCTTCTATAAAAGAAACGAGACTGAAACACTTTGGAGGGGGTATCTGTAGGCATCAAAAATTACCTACGGGCTCTCACACGCAGCTCGAAGCAGAGAGAAGACGATGAACGTCACTATCCGAGTCATAGAAGTTTAATTGACGTCGATGAGCGCATGAAGCAAGTCGACGAACTGTGTGAAGCAACGGAACTACAGAATAACGAAGATACGAACTGATTGGGAGCTACGCTTCACTTATGAAAAAACTAAGCACCTCTCGTGTCCCGTCTACTCCATGTATGAATCAACCATGGGAGCTCGTAGATCTCCTCGTCGGCTTTCATACGCACTTTGAATAGTACAATTCTGAGATCGAGCGACGAATATATAGCGGAAACAAACGGGACGCACAAAACAGTGCCCCGGACCTTAGCAGAGACACCCGTGGTGTCTCGGCGAAGGCCGAGACACCCGTGGTGTCTATTTTTGAGCGGTTTTCAACCGTTAACCACCTGGATTTATTTCAACTGATCTAATATCATCCAAGAACGTGATAAAGTGGTTACAACTGAGGATAAGAGTGAATCGGTGGTTCTTATCCGAAAACAGAGCTCCTGAGACCTATAAATACAGCCCTAGGGCCTTCATTTGCACAGATCTAAAATTTTCGAGCCTCAGCGAAGCCCTGCTGAATTGGAGACTGAAGGAGCACGAATTTCAGAGAAGATGAGAAGATCGGATCGAGTTCTTCGACATGAAGAAGAAGAGTTCGTCAGATCTACAGTTCCCGGTTCCTTCCCTTGAGATCGTACCTAGCTGCGATCTCGAGAAGAGTGGTTATCTTGCTGTTGCCGAGATAATCGCTTCGGTTTCTTGATTCCTTCGCGAATCAACGAAACTCCGGATTGATCTGATCGTTTGGTAGGTCACGGATATCAACGTCCCCGTCACATGCAAAGATCCCACGCAAGCAGCGGGAGATAAACGTCCGCTGCGTTTGTTTGAGAAGAGTTGTAATTTTCGTTATTTTATTGTGTGAGGAGATCTTATAAAAAGATCAACTGTTAAACTCTTTGTAACGTTTGAAGTTGTAATGAGTTGCACAATGAAAAAGTCAACTTTCACACCAAACACTCATGGCCACGCATCAATTTTCAGAATACTCCAATTGCTGCAAACCATGTTATATAATTTTTCCTTTGATTTTGAAGCAGATCATACACAATATAATCTTACAAGATTCTGTCCCTCCTACTCTCAATCCAATTGTTAGAAAACAACTTCCAGTCAGCATCAGATGAAAATTACAATGATATTCCTTCAGTTGAGAACATACAACAGAGTTAGAATTTTGTTCTTCTTTCAACTATCCCCCCTCACACTTCTCTGTGTACATAGAAAACACGTCTATAAAAACAAATTGCACTGCCCTAAAAATGAAGCTGAAAACCAACCGCAACCTCAACAAATCGCTATGGTACAGACCGATACCTGCAAAGAACCTTGCATCTAAGCACCCGATCTTGCACATAAAACCCTGGCATTACCATAATCTTCACCCTGGTCGGATTTCGTCCTCCCTGCCTATCAAATAAAACATCCTCCATATAGAGAGGATCAAAAGTCCTATCCTCTTCAACTCTCAAGATTACTAAAGGTGGGTTGAAGGAAAAAGCTAACAAATGCAGCAACCAGATGCACTTTGCTGAGACAAAGAAGGATTGAAGAAGCTGCTCTGGCCATGGCATGGACCAATCCAGCACCGAGACAATACCATTCATCTTCTGATCACAAAACCTATTGAAATCCTCACAGTAATGTTTAGTACCTTTCTGCAAAACATCGTTCCAGCTCAGGCTTCTAAGCGCAACGAATGAAGAGAAATTCTCCAATCGATCTTGCTGAGGATCAAGAACTCTAGGAGAGCCTTTCTTTTGAAATACACAGTTCTCAAAGTCTTGGTACAGCGATTGGTTTACAAGAGATTCTAAATGGTAGAGTACCCCTTTCGAATACTTATTACTTATGGCCACTTGGTGCGGTTGAAGAACTAAATCTAGCTTCTCCATTAAACTGCTATCAGCTTCTTCAATCTGGTTTATGAGTGTCTTGCAGAACTGTTTAACTGAGAGCCGAGCTTCTGAAACTACTTGCAAGAATCCCTCCACCATCACTTCTTGGCTGACAGGCATCGAGTTGTCTTTTACTACGCTAATGGATTTTGCTCTTTTTGTGGTGTCTTTTCCTTGCACTGCATGTTTTAAAGCTTTCTTCAGGTCTTCACAATATGATTCAAGGCTCATCAGCTTTTGTTGCAAGTCTCCCAATGAAGATTTCATCTCTGAAACTTCAGCTAAGGCAGCATCCCTGTTTTCATTGGCCTCGAGCAGCTCCTTCTTTAGTGTTTCAATTGAGAAAACTCCCCAAGCTTTTACAATCTGGGACATGTCTCCAGATTCTAATGCAGTTGGAGACATTTCTGTCTTGGGTTTCTTTTTCGATTTAAACAGCCATGAAAATTTTGCCCCTTTCTGTTTAGGGTGAAACTGTACTGGAGCTGTATCACTTGAAGGTTTTGTACTGATACCATTCTTGGTATTTTTCTGATCTGCATCATTTTCCCTATTAATTGTTGCTGGCTCGCATGTATTACAAGTGTTGAGAAGTTTGAACTCACTTGAGTTGGTTCGCCTGCTAGAAGACTTGATTATATCAGAAGCTGGAGCATTTGGCAAAACGGGAAAAAGGTTTGTACATGAGCTCCTCTTAGAAAGCTGGTTGTTTGTATATTTGTTTAGAGTTTTAGTATCGGCGACAGTGCTGTCATTATCCCTGGGTTCTTCTTCAAATCTTCCACTCCAGCTCTCAGACAGGCTTCGATTTTCTGGAAGGATGTAGTGATACCCAGGTAATGGGTCCTCTTCGTAACTCTGATATTTATTTCAACAAAAAAGACAATACTTACTATCAATCTTAAAAGAGGGCGGAAACTGCTAAACAGTTCCTGTCCATTTTCCAAGTGAATGTAAATGTTAATATCTAACTTGTCATGGAATCCAAAAGTATAACAGTAATAAATGAATAGACAACATTGTACAAGAGAGCATTGAAGGGGGAGAAAACAACACAGTAAGAAATTTCCTGCCAGAAAAATGGTGTATACAAATAGCAGAGATTGCATTAACACACCTTAGAAATGAAAAGGAAACATGATTCCCTAACATGACTTAGGAATGGAAGGGGAACATAAAATTTCCCACAGAGAACATGATTTCTATCAGCAAAAATTGACCAGGAAGTAATAAAAAAACACTACCATAAAACCATTAGAGTCAACATAGTAACAGGTACATGCATCGAGAAGGTCTTAGTGTCAAGCTACAAAATTATAGAAAAGCCAAAACCTGAAAATAAATAACATTCCAGTTATAAGTTTGAGTGACATGAGAAAACCCCAGATAACAGGTATGCACTAACCTCAAAACTGAACACAACACCATCTCAAAGAATAATATTCAGAAAGTAACAGACAATAGTAAATATTCACCAGAAGATGATATAGCAATAAATAGTGAAAACAGCTGCTTATTAAATTTTATACCAGGAAATTCATTTCAACAACAGTTGCAACCAAGATTAATGGTACAAATAATCAGTTGCAAGGAATGAAAAGTTAAAGCTTCTCCAATCAGGCTTTAAGTTTTAGGTTTCTTAAAAACCCAAAGATATGAGACAAAAATTTCACTGTCGTTCTCATAATACATACTACTGGGGTTTGAACACCATTGATTGTTCCTTCCTCGACAAATACTAGCACCTACTATTGGGGTTTGAACACCATTGATTGTTCCTTCCTCAAGAAATATTAGCACCTACTACTGGGGTTTGGACACCATTGATTGTTCCTTCCTCGAGAAATATTAGCACCACATTATGGTCTAAATAGATATAAAAGAATGAATGATCTATAAACAAATGTGAATTGTGCTAGTCCTCGCATCCCTGGTCAGTGAAGGCCGAGTTTTGAGACCACTACTTATAGGAGTCAGGGGATATTTCAGTAATAATAGAATCCACTGAAGACCAACTGCATGTTTATTATCAAAGATGGTAAATGCTAGCAAAAAATAATCTTATAGATTGGTGGAAAAAGAGGTTTCCTTCCAGATACTGGTAGAACATGCAATTGTTGCCCGACTTCATACATGAAGGAAAAAAAATTTAATGCTGGACATGTAGAAAGAAAATTAAAGAAACCTAAGAAAGAATGCTGGACATGTAGAACGAAATTAAAGAAACCTAAGAAAGAGAACAAATTAAACATGTGTATGTGATCTGTAAAGGTGCTTGAGCTCATTTTTGCTAGAATAAACGTACAATACATAATTAATTAGACTTTTAGCAGGTTAGGAGGTAGTTAAAGAATGACACTTGGTTAAGTCATGCGTGAAATGAAGGGATGTGAAGTTTACTTCTTAGGTCAATAGATGGTCCATAGAAAGAGGAATACAGGAAGGATACTCATTGCAAGTCTTAAAGTCTCTGTCACTACACGGAAACTCTGAAGTTGTGGTGATGGTTGAGGGATATACTCTAATATGCCACCATAGGCTGAGGGCCGTTTCATGGACCAAATCTGGACTCATGAAGCAATATCTTTTTTTTATCCACTCCATAAAATTTGAGCCAACAAGACTCGAACTTGTTGAAATCAGACAAAACATCTAAACATCAAAAGACTGCAACAACCAGAATAGCTTGAGATAAAAATGTCCATGAGTCTGGTATAATTACAATACTTCCTTAAATTTTGTGGAAATCCTATGATCACATAAAACTCCAGCAAGAAAAAGACCTCCACTTAACTATCACTTTTGAACTACTCGATCTCACATCATACCGAACGAACAATTCTAAGTACGCAAAATGGTTACTCCAAGGTATTGCGGAACTAACAATATATACTGGAGCCGCCTCCTCACAACTTTGCTAAAGTTACTTCCCGTATGTTCCATCTTCATCCTAATATTCTGAATCTTTTGGATTCAACTACCTCTATCCACCTTTTTACATTGCAATTATCCCTTCCTGATTTCATCAACTAATACTATGTCACAACATGCTCCACAAAATCCTATATGAGATATGCCTCGTTCATCCACAACTGATGTAAAAAGAGAGTTTTAACAGTTTCACAATCTAATTACATTCACGATGAAACAAGGCTCAGATTGCCGATATTAGGAATTTAAAGGGACATAAAGATTGATCGATAACTAGAAACTGTAAGAAAAAGAATGATACGGACAGACAATTACACATCAGATTTAAAGGAAAATGCAAGGAAAAATGGAGAAACTATGGTACCAAGCATCTTAATTTAGTGTTAGTAGAAGGACTTCCGCACAAGTGAATACTCCTAGAATAAATTTAGTCTTAATAAGTGGCAGGACTTCTGCATAAGTCAATACTCCTAGAATGGAAAGAAGATTATGAAGAGAAATAGCCCACTTATCCACACTGTAATTGTACGGCACACAAATGCTTCTTAGAGCTTTGCCTTTGTAATATGCATAAGGAGAGAGATGAAAAATAAATTTCTTCAAGGAAATAATGTTCCTTAGTAATAGCCTTCTGGAATGCCTTTGCTAGAGAAAAGTACTGAATTGACAAAATACGTAGAAAGGCACAACGCATGTTCCTGAGAAAGAACTAGCAAGCTGAGGGCTTTAAGCGTGCTCCTTGTGCATATTGTTCAGTTATCTTTCTTACTCTCCTACTACATGCTTGGGCCTCTAGTTGTCTCTCTACTTATGATGTCCTTGTTGTAATTTCCTAGAATCTTGCTTATCATTAGTACGAAGACTCACGTTAGTCTTCCCTTACATCAAAATTAACCATACGAAAATAAACGTCTTTTGGATAAGATGGAATAGGAAAAAGGTCAGCACTGGTTAGGGAAATAAAAGCACCTGGAAGGCTCTTGAAAGATGCTAGTTTTATCAATTTCAAAGTAACTAATTCCGTGTAAGTTTTATGATACTATGGGAAGAGTCCAACTGCAGTACAAGCCTTTAATTAAAGATGAAATACCAACTTCCATCAACAAATTTATTCCAGGGAATAGTGCTCTAGAGGAATATATCCAAGGGACCAGACACACAACAATTACACAAAGGCTAGATGAGGAATCTACCTAAACAACTTTTTTTTTAATAAAGAATTCCCAAGAATCCAAGAAAATCCTAAACCAAAACAAAATATCTATTGTCGGTAACCAGTTGTCACCAATTCAATCCTTGGTTTATTGTTACTTACTTTCGGACGACAGGTGATTGAATGGGACTTAATCCTTAATCTAAAGTGCAATGTGAACTAATTAACTGAAGCACCTACAACTACAAGCCTTAGATACATTCACCATTCCAAGTAAGCAGAGCAGTTAGCATATATGAAAAGCCTGAAAGGACACGACCATAATTTCTCTGAACAATGAATCCCCAAATCTTCAGTTAAAAAAATAGCAATAACAACGGAATGGAAATAAATCTAACAAGATAAATAATTAATATATTAAAGCACAGAAACTCCCAATCCATGACTATATCAAATTTCACACTAATGACAATGAAGACACATCCATCAATTTTAGGCCTTTCCTCAAGTGTCACCTACTACATCAACAGCTACACAAATCATGGACGGAGAATATGCTGAAGCTGGATCCTAGCTCATGGACATTAAGCCAACACGGAAATATCTATTCACCCACTTGTGAGAACTTCCCCCCATCATCAAATTATGCATAATTAGCTTAATAAACACACACACAGAATCATTGCCGACCCCAAGCGCCCACAATAAACATTCACATAAAGAGCCCGGGGGAAAGAAAAAAAAAGGCTGGCCACTGAATCCCACAAGCGCAAGATCAACAGACATCTAGAAACCCATCAATCAAATGCCGTTGTGAATCAAACCCACACGGGAAATCCAAAGAAAAGAGAGCTAAAATTACCGGGGTGAATACTGGGTAATCCTCAGCGGAGAGCTGATGAGAAGATCTCGAGAGAGAAGGGGAAGCCCCAGGCTGGATCCTTGGGAGAGCAGCAGCAGGGCTGCTGCTGCTCCCTTGAACAAGAGCAGCGTGAAGAGCTCTGAGCTCCATGGCCTTGGCAAGGGCGACCTTGAGGTCCTGCCTCTGGATTCCGTGCCCGTGGGCCTGTAGAGCTTCAGAAGAGGCCATTAGACCCTCCTTCTAACGCATCAGAGAGAGAATTCTATTGGGTTTCTTGGAAATCTAAGGTCGAACGAAAATGGCAAGAAGGAAGAGAGAAAAAGAAAAAGGTTGAGACCGAGAGAGTTGCTGGCCTGCTGAGTGCTTTTATTTATATATATTAAGCTGAGTGCATTGGAATGACAAGAGCCATCCACGTCTAATTACTATTCTTCGGTCTCTCCAATCCCCGTTGAGGATTTAAGAAGGGAATTTACTTGAAAATATCTTATTTTTTGCATTGATAAATGTAAGTATGGGGAATCTTTAGAACTTAATTTATGTTTAGGATGGATGGTGGATTCAAAATGAGACAATTTGATAAGCACCTTGCTCTGGGGCAATTTTCACAAAAACCCCGTGAACTTCCGGGCATTTGCCACGGAATTGTTTTTACCACTAACCCTCTTGACCTTTGGACAGTCTTTATGAAACCCATGGGCTTTCAATCTATCCCAGTCGACCCCCTACCTGTGGAC